AATTGTATGCATATAACCCATACCTTCTGCACACGCTTGAACCGCACATTGCTTTCTGCTTGAGCACTCTCTCCTTTGGTCTGCCATTTGTCCGGGTGCCATTTGCGCACCATCTGCCGATGCGCTTTTTTGATTTGGCTTTCAGTGGCAGTGGTGGGCACACCCAGCACTTCATAATGGTTCTGTGGTATAATGTAATGTTACTATGTCAATATGTTACTATTTTATAAACTGTTATACTCTGCTATATACTTTGACCTGGCCATGCATCGGTGTTACGTAGGAATGGCTCTGTGGTATGATGTATTGTTACTGTGTCAATATGTTACTATTTTATAAACTGTTATACTCTGCTATATACTTTGACCTGGCCATGCATTGGTGTTACGTAGGAATGGCTCTGTGGTATGATGTATTGTTACTATGTTAATATGTTACTATTTTATAAACTGTTATACTCTGCTATATACTTTGACCTGCCCATGCATTGGTGCCACGTAGGAATGGTTCTGTGGTATGATGTATTGTTATAATGTTAATATGTTACTATGTTGTTAACTGCTATACTCTGTTATATACGTTGACCTGCCCGTGCATTAATGTTACGTACAAGGTTGTATATCTGGTGTAGTGCTATTCAAGTGGTACTTGCGCACCATCTGGTGATGCGTTTTCGTGATCCAGCTTTCGGTTGGGGGTATTGGGCACACCCAGTACTTCAAAATGGTCGTGTATTACGCTGTGGTTTGTATGGTGCTATAGAATGTCACATACTTTGGCTGGCCATAGTTCCAGGCTATATTGCCACTGATATATGGATTAAGGTTTTAGGGTGCAGGTAGGGTTGAGGGGTTGTCTTCTGATGTGTAGTGTTATTCGGGTTACTTATATGCAGCAACTGTAGATGCCTGTTTCATATGATTTCCGATGGCCGCTAATGACCACACCCACAACTTTGTATTGACTGTGTGGTGTGGTGTGGTGTGGTGTGGGGTGGTGTGGGGTGGTGTGCTTTGCTTCGGCCTATCTTTGAGCGTGACTCCACAGGCGTTATAGTAAAGTGCAGTGGAGTCCTATGCATAACTTTTAAGGTTTAGGGTTTTAGATATAGTACCGAACGATCTGGCGTATCCCACTGTAAAGTCTGTCGGACCGGCACTTGTCATGCGCAAGCATACGTACGGTATCTATAGACAACGCAAAGACGCTCTGCTAAGCATAGGACGGCCCCCACACGGGGATGGTGCAGATACCACGTGATGTCCAGATACATTGCACCTCTAGGGCGCATGTTTCAGGATACACATACCGATTGAAGAATAGCTCTTCATATACACTCACCTGAGCTGCGAATAACTATTTATATACCCCCACCTGAGCTTTCAGAGAATAACTATCAATATACAATCACCTGAGCTTTCAGAGAGTACCTATCATTATACACTCACCTGAGCTTCTAGGTGCTTCTCCACGTTCACTTTCGCCTCCTTTGCTTTGTTGGCGATGCAATCATTGGCCCTGAAGGACAACAGAACAAACAACGTCACGTTAAGAAAAGGCATATATGCACACACAAGCAAGCACTAGACACGTGTGCACACATATGTAAGCACTAGACATGTGTACACACTAGGCATGTGTGCACACATTTGCAATCATTAGACATGTGTACACACATGCAATCAATAGACATGTATGCACACATATGTAATCATTACACATGTGTACACCCATATGTAAGCACTAGACATGTGTGCACATATATGAAAGCACTAGAAATGTGTGCACACATGCACAGTGTGGCGGCAGGATGATCGGAATCAATTTAGCGCAAAGTTCAAGAAATGCAAGAGGCTTTGTAGAAGACTCGATAGACCAGTCACACTCCCTCAGCTATGGGTCTTACGTATGTACTGTGAACGTGTGCTATGTTGGGCTCTGTTTGTGCCCAGGTAGGATTTAGTGTAAAGGTAAACTATGGTGCACAGATAACGTATGGTGTACGTTGGGTGCTACAAGGCATTCTCTGTGTTACCAGCACGTGCAGCAGACTTGGGTGGGAATATGCACAGACCACCAAGCACACCCCACGTACCCGTACAATAGGCTAACGGATAGGCAGTCACACACTCATAACACACACCACCCCCCCACACAACTCTAAGTGGTCTGAGGGCTAAATACAGCTATAAGTGGTCATAAGGTTAACTTGAACACAGCTTTAAGGGGTCTGAGGGCTAAATACAGCTGTAAGTGGTCAAAAGGTTAACTTGAACACAGCTCTAAGTGGTCTGAGGGCTAAATACAGCTATAAGTGGTCATAAGGTTAACTTGAACACAGCTTTAAGGGGTCTGAGAGCTAAATACAGCTGTAAGTGGTCAAAAGGTTAACTTGAACGCAGCTCTGGTTTGATGGTTAAATACAGCTGTAAGTGGTCAAAAGGTTAACTTGAACACAGCTCTAAGTGGTCTGAGGGTTAAATACAGCTGTAAGCGGTCTGAAGGCTAAATTAAACACGGTTCGTAATGGTCTGAGGGTTAAATACAGCTGTAAGCGGTCTGAAGGTTAAATTAAACACGGTTCTTAGTGGTCTGAGGGTTAAACAGAGCTGTAAGTGGTCTGAAGGTTAAATTAATCACGGTACTTATTGGTCTGAGGGTTAAACACAACTCTAAGTGGTCCAAGGATTAAATTAAACACGGTTCTTAGTGGTCTGAGGGTTAAACACAGCTGTAAGTGGTCTGAGAGTGGTCTTACCGTTTGATGCGCTTCTTGATGTCCTCGTCATTGGGATGTTCTGTGAGCAGAGCTGCAATGTGCGTATATTTTGGGTGCAGAGGAATATGAATTAGTACCGAGATAGTACTAGTCTGCTGACTGTGTGGAGTATAGTGAGCATATGCCTCAGAGCGCCATTGGGTGCAGAAGAATGTGGATTAGTACCGAGAGAGTAGTAGTCTGCTGCCTGTGTGGAGTAGAGTGAGAATAGACCAGCGAGCGCAATTGGGTACAGAGGAATGTGGACTAGTACCGAGAGAGTAGTAGCCTGCTGACTTTGTGGAGTTTAGTGAGAATAGACAAGCGAGCGCAATTGGGTACAGAGGCATGTGGACTAGGACCAAGAGAGATAGTAGTCTGTCGACTGTTTGAAGCATAGTTAGCAAAGGCCTCAGAGCGCAATTGGGTGCAGAGGAATGTGTACTAGTACCGAGAGAGTAGTAGTCTGTTGACTGTGTGGAGGACACCTATATACCATGCCCTACCCAGTGCATCTACCTACTATGACCTACCCCGATAAAAACAACGGTCCCCCATCACACATCCCAATGCTCACAGTACACCTATATTCCATGCCCTGCCCAGTACACCTACCTACTACACAATAACAACAACAGTCCCACATCGCACATCCAATGCTCACAGTACACCTATCTTCCATGACCTGCCCAGTACACCTACCTACTACACCCTACCCCCATAAACGCAACGATTCAACACCGCACATCCTAATGCACACAGTACAACACAAGCCTCTATCTAAAGCACAACACCAGACAGAGGCGACATCACCTTATGAGCAGACACACCAATACACACGATACCACAATCCTCACTTAGGCTACGGCACACTACGTATTACATGCACAGCACTACCGCCACCCACCGTGCAATCAACATCTCAACACACAGCTTCCGTCGCCTACCTGCACCGGTAGACGAAGTAGTACAAATGTGTGGCCAGATCCGATATAAGCATGTACCCTAGGATATTATACATGCACACCAACCGTACCATTCTGAGTCGGAGA